GAAATATTTTATCAGAAATAGTTCACCAAATTAGATAGGATATCCAAAATATATGTGTATAAGCTTTACAACAGTGGTGACCTTTTCCATTTTAAGCACAGAGCATGATCAAATGTTACTACCAGTTTGAATAAGAATTTACCTGATTTGATGAGTTCTATAATTTTCATCAGGACTTCTTCAATCCCTTGCCCAGCCCAGATTTCTTTACCCTGCATCAGGTGACAAATGATGTAAAACAAACAAAGCAGTTAAGAATGAATTAAATATTCCTACTAAAATATTAGGTTTCTTGGAAAAAAAAAGTTTTAAAAAAGGCAATTTGAAATAAGCCCTCAAAAAACAAACATCTTTACAGCTATATGTAACGAGTGGTAGATCAATTACAGTTTTAACATATTTAAAATACAGGTCTTGACACACTACAGCTTTTATTAAAATTTTACAAATGAGAAAACAGACAAAATAAAAAGGACCAAATCTCAAAAGTTACAAATAGTAAAGGTTACTAAATGTCCTGACTAACATTGAATTACACAACTAACAATAAACATGTTGGATAACTCTGTATTTAACTTGTTATGACAAACATAGTTCACTATCAATAAAGATATATGTTGATGATATAGTACACATTGTACAAACATACTTAACTATCAATAAAGATACATGTTGATGATACAGTACACATTGTACAAACGGCAAATAAGATTATTATTTTTAATGATTAATTTCCAAAGAGCAGTTTGCTGCGGGGTTTAGCTGATAGGAAATCAGCTCTCCAAATCTATGTGAGCTACCATTGCTCTCCAACTCTATGTGAGCTACCATAACATCTTAGAAAATTGGCTATTACACTAATACTGTTGCGCACGTGCAGTGTCTATTTTAAGACAGAAGCACATGGCAGTATATTAACTATAATGATATGACTTTTAGTTTTATACTAATGCATGTGTAAGAATTTAGTGTATGGCTGTACGTTTAACCATCAAAATATCATTATTACACATCAAATTGATGGAGCTGACATGTGCTTGAAACACTGTGTGATATAATAAGTAATGAACATCAATCATCAGTTACCCACACCTGACAAACATTCTCTACAAAAACGTAAAGATATAAATGCATGTGGTTAACTTACAAAACGTCCACACTGCCAGACATAAAAAACACACAAATATTTTCAAATGGCTGAGTGATGTACACATAGATCAAATGAGTGAATGATGTACACATTAATCAAGACTGAATTATGTACAAATAGATCAAATGATTGAAGGATGTAGACATTGATGAATTTTTACCAAAATCAATTCCAGTAAAATAACTCCAAATGTCCAAACATCAGCCTTGGGTCCCGATGTCGGTTGCACACAATGTCCCGTGTCTTCATCAACTTTGACTGGTCCTGAACACAATACTTCTGGCGGCATATAGCGAGGAAGTCTGGTGATATACAAACATAGACTGACATCACAGATTTCTTTGTTCTGCTTGACTTGATCTTTGTGTTTTTTCCTCCCATTTATTATCGCATTTAAAAATCAATCCCCATCGCGAAACAAACTTTTTAAAAATAAAATCTTTAAGTTGTTTAAATCAACTTATTTAGATGCCTTATCTTTGTGAAATATATAAGATAAACTTAATTAGCTTAGGCTCAGCAAGATAAAAAACAGAAACATGTTCTAAGACTTAAAGTGAACTATCTAAAAATGTATGTGACACTATGAGGGGGAAAAAATTGTAATTATCTACCCTGGTAGCTTAAATATAAGCAAACCATTCCAACATGTAGCATGTGAACTTGAGTTTTTACTGTTTGTTTAAATTATGAACTACTCAAAATTGGATATTAAAAAAAGAATAGGATTCAATGTGAATAAAGGAGCAAAGAACTCATATTTCTAGTTACTCACCCAATAGGAAATGAAACATCTGCCCCATAGTCAGTCATATAATATAGACCATATTCTGATAACTTGATATTACCCTAACAAAGCAAATAGTAAAGAAACATTTTTCAAAAGTTTATAGAATCCTTTTTTAAAAATGCATAAAAAATTTTTGTAACTTTATCTCTTTATATAATCAACGATAATTATATCAGTAGCCCCACCACCATCACATGGCCCCACCACCATCAAATAAGAACAAAAAGTTTACCTGTTTGTCAATCAAAATATTGTCCAGCGATAAATTCCTGTGAACAACTTTTTTCTCATGTAAATATGTCAACCCGTCAAGTATCTGGAATCCTATATTAGCAATTTGAGTTTCCCTTGGTTTGAAAAAAAAGGAGGAAACAAAATTTATTATATGAAATTACACTATTAATATAATATGGAAATGAAATAGTTTTCTTACAGTGTCACTAAATGCAGTAAAAAGTTTCAGATTCATGGATTTTTCTCAAACTCTTTGCAGCATCAGATAAGTCATTTAGTTTATTTCATTTTGTTATTCTCTCCTCCTCTGAAGAAGGCTTTTGACCAACACATCAGTTATCTACCAAAACGTCAGTTATCTCATCTGATTTTATGGATCCCAATGATCGTGTTATGGTGAGTTTCCAATTAAATGATAATTAGAGATTAGTTTATTTCAGAAATTTTTGCTCATGTGATAACACTGATTTTAAATACACTGAAGCACTATCAAGCATGATTAAAACACAAATTATGGCTGTCAACAATCAGAGTGAGCTTCATGACAAAACAAAGTAAACAATGTTTTGACCAAAAGCCTTCTCAAGCAGACATAACAAATATAATATTTTAATTTTAAAGATGATAATACAATTGTGAAATAGTGGGCAAAAAAAATTTAAAACAAACTATACTATAAAAATAAACTATAATATGTACCTACAAAACATAAGATAAAGCAATAGGCTAATAAAAATACATACGATAAGCTATTTTCAATTTTAATTTTCTCCCTCAGGCAAGTGCGATGATGCTCTGAGATCACTATCATACACTCTGGAGTAAGAAACAATTTTCATAGAATTCAAAATATGTTGAGATTTCATTGCTATTAATGTAGCATAAAGTTTGAAATAGACAATTTAAAATTATTATTTTAAAAGATAAATTACAATTTAAATTTATGTTTTTAAAAGATAAATTACAATTTAAGTTTATGTTTTTAAAAGATAAATTACAATTTCAGTTCTAGTTTGCCAGGGCGCACCATGTTTAGTTTTGCTGATATCTATATATTGGCATAATTTTGGATGAGACAAAGCTGACAGGTATTGAAATCTTCCAAGAATTTTGATCGAATTGGGTGTCAGTGGGAGGCCATTAGGTCCACATTTGTCATTAGGGTGGGATGCTGCATAGAATGTTCTCACACCAAAGTCGGCGGAGCCTAAGGCAGGCATAGTGAAACAGTTAATATCCTGAAAAATAAAAAAATTAAGAAATATGAATATATTTTTTGTTTACTTAATTTAGATTAAGCTAAAAAAATGTGAACATGTATGAAGTAAAAAATGGTTGCATTTATGATGAACATGATATGCATGGTTGTATTTATAAAATACAATTGATATGTGTTTATTCTAAACTCATCCTGAACATATTTTCCCACCGTTCATTTACACTATATTTTGGTCACTGGTGTACATTAGAAACTTGATGATAGCAAAGTTTTATCATCTGCCCTTGAAGCCGTAGTCACCCAGTATGGTTTTAGGTGTTTACAACTGTTGCTAATAGAGCTGAGCTGGTTAAAAAATTTACACAGTGGAAGGCAGGCGCCATTACATATCTGATTTTTTATGCCAAAAGTAAGAAATGTTTTAAATAGTTTTGTAAAAAGTATTTTTTTAAATCTTTCTTTCGAGGTATCATGTGTGACCCTTTGCTTCGTAGGAAAAAAAAGGTTGGACAGCACTGTGGTAGTGGTCCTTCTTAAATCCTTTTCATGGACTGACCATTTGTCCACAAGGTGGAAGGTGATGAGTTAATATAATATCTGGGATGCCACGTCTGTGAAATATAAGATTTGACTTCTGGTGGCATTTTTGTTTTGTGTGTTGCTGCACGGCTCACCCTGGCAGAGCTGCTTTTTTTTCAAAGGTGCCCTAGGCTATAAGAGACTAAGATTTTAACTGTTGTGTTCCTTTTTTTTGGGTTATTTTTTTTTGGGGGGGGGGGGGGGGGGGGGGGGGGGGGGGT